GCGTTTTGAAATGGCTTGTTAAGTCACTCCCAATGATCGTGCCAATTCTTCTTGATTTTGACACGAGTCTTGATCAAGTAATGCCTCCAATTCTGCATCTTCGAAAACCTTCTCTCTTCCACCGCTATGCCGATCTTCGACGTCAAAATCACCGTTCTTAAAGTGTTGAAACCACTCACGACACGTTCTTTCACTAATAGCGGCCTCACCATAAATATTTGAGAGCATTCGATGAGCCTCAGCCGCAGATTTCTTCATATTGAAGCAGAAAATTAAAACCTCCCGCAAATGACGAAAATTTGGCTCGTAAACTGACATTTTCAATCGAGAATAACTTTATGATGCAGACACAAATCGACTAATGTTTCTATGGGGTTATGTTGACAGATGCCCAAATTTATTGTATGACGTCTATGATCTATTTATTTCTACCACCACTTACCGCTAAAGCCCTTTATAGGAAAACGGCGGAAGCAAAGTTGTACATCTAATATTAACAAGTTTTATGACTTTAAACAGATACATATGTATAAAAATATTTATCTATCTGTTTAAAGTCAAACTTGTTAATAAAATCGTAAAACATATGTGAATGCAATATCAGAAATAAGAGAGCCAAATTGGCTACAACGGTCCTTCTAGGTAGACAATTCAATAAAAATTCAATACATCTTGTGTAATTAAATTTTTTATTTATCAAAAGATTATGATGAAAAGTCACGAGAGGTTATCACATGGAAAAAAAATTAAAAAAAGTTATACCTGTTTGAAGTTTGCGAGGAGCCAAATTAGCTACCTTGGTCCTTTTAGTGTTAACGTGGCATAATAAGTTAAAGATGGAAAATGTTATACCTTCAATGTCAAAACAGTGTGACTTAGATCCAAATAACCTGTGCGGAGGACGTAACCCTTCTCGGTTAAATCTTCCATTATCACGTTCTGTTCGTCCTGATATATACATGCAGGACCGTAAGGGCCAAGAATAGGCAGTACTTTGCTGTACACATGTCCTTCAATATAGTATAACAAATTAATATCACTGAACGTGGAGGCCGGACTCTTCGGCACCATCGACTTCCAGATAAAATTCTTGATGTATGCTGCGCACAAATATGAAGAAAGAAAGTTTAGGAAACGCGCATTCGCGTATATCGCGTATCTAGATATTGAATAGTAGCTAACGTAGTTCTGTGCCGAATCACTTTCTACATTTTGAATGAGTAACATAATACTTACAATTGGAACACAGTAGTAATTACATTAAACATCAAAATATTTTATATTGCTACTTCTCTAATCGATAGAATTGCGCGAAATAAATAAGCAACGAATGTTGCGTAATCACATATTATAAATTGAAAATTGCAAAACTGTTACACAGTGAACGTTACATGCATCATGTCACTTCCTGGATCGAGAATTGCACCATTTTCAGCCTTACACATATACGCAAAATGAAAATCGCATAAATAACTCTAATTATAATGGCAGAGTTACATTTAATGGCTCTATATAGTGTTGTGGTAGTTTCGATACATTTTTATGTATACAGACTGTCTCTTTTTAATTATACACCTTAATTATTTTAAAAAAAGCAAAATATAATAGAAAAAAATTTATGAGAGGGAAATTGTATGATTTTGAGAGATTTTAAAAAAGTTTTAATAGTCATTTTTTACCTCAAAACGATTTTGGAGATATCTGTTGAAATCAACTTTAATTTTTTCCAATGAAATCTTTCAATATAAATTAATTTCTCTAGTTTGCATATTCTGCATATAAAAGTACTGAAATAAAATTATTGAAAAATAACTTGCCCAGATATTTTACATTTCTTTTTTACATATTCAGATATTTTTTCAGTTACAAAACATAAAATATCTCGTAAAATACTCACTTTTTTTATAAAATCTAATTTAATATTTAAATCTATTTTAATATATTAAAATAGATAATATTTTAATATATTAAAAAATATTTTAATATATTAATACTTAAATCTATTTTAATATTTTTGTAGGCAGGATGACAGATGAAGTTACTTGTTGTAAAAAAGGACAAAGAAACCACAAAAAAATTTTGTTTGCAGTTAAATATGTGGATAAGACTGAAAGTCATGTAATTTTCAATTTAAGCAATGATACGGCATGTATGAGACTGATTGTACATATTACATGAAACATTTAAAAGTAACCAAAAACTAATTAATGTTGCCTTCTGTCGAGACACCTGTGAGACAATGCAAGTAACAATTCGTAATAGTGAATTTAACTTCCGCCGGATTCCGCCGGTGGTTCTCCTTTGTCCTTTGCGGTTCACATAAAGTGTAATAACAACGATACTAACGACTTCCGTCTCCTCGTGTGCCAGTGATTGTAATTCTGATTACTTTCGATGTAAAACTCGAGGCGAGTTTCATCCCCGTCTCGGTTTCATCCGTCTGAGTTTCATCCACTGTTTTCAAGACGACCAATTTCTCGTCGTTCTCGTACTTTCTCAAATAAGTCTGGAACCGTTTCGCCGTGTCTGAAATTTAAACGTGCCGAAATAAAATAACATCCGCGAGAGACGACGCAAGCACGAGGATTTATATAGCGTAAATGTTTATCAATCGTGTCTCTCATAGCAATGAAGCTTGCTCAAACGACATTTAGCGCGGACATGCGCGTATCGACGTCGGACCCGATGTATTACTTTCATATTATTAAAGTAAATACTTTCATATCGTTTAAAGTATTACTTTCAAAGATATCATGGCCACGCGCTGTATATAAATTGGTATAAATGTTTAAGTGTTGACTCAACCTACGATACCTGAGCGTGAAATAATAAAGCAAACTGTAACTACTGCGACAGCAGCCTAAATAGCGCAATGAGTGATAATAAAGATAATTTTTATGTCGACATTTTTTCTTGCCGTATCTTGAAATGGTTTAAGATAATGTTTTAAGATAATGGTTTCGAGATGGTATAGTTTGATAAGAATTGCGCGGTCCAATTTTGCTCCTCGCCATATAACTATTGCACGCTACTATTATTTTTGTGTCTCACTTTTATTATATTTTTCTCTTACAATTGTCTCTTAATTCTTTTTAACTCTTTAACTCTTGAGCAAAAGTTATTTTAATGCCGAAATAATTAGGGCGGGAAGTTGAGAACTTTTGATTTAGGTTGCCTAAAATCTCCTCCTAAATGTCTGGAAATGTCATTTGCTGAGAGTTTCGTGAAGGTTGGCCTAGTGATCTACAAAATATTAATGGACTGGCATTTGTTGGCGAGCTAGAAGTTGAGAATTCCTAATTCAGGTTGCCTAAAATCTCCTCCTAAATGTCTAGATACATTTGCTGAGAATTTCACGAAGGTCGGCCCAGTGATCCGCAAAATATTAATGGACCGGCATTTGTTAGCAGGCTAGAAGTTGAGAAATTCCTGATTCAGGTTTCTCTACAATCTTCCCCTAAATATCTAAATACATTTACTACAAGTTTCATGCAGGTCAGCCCAGTGGAAATAATCGCGGACATAAATATATACGTGTGTAGAAACACATACACAAAGTCAAGTCGGAAACTTCCTTTTCCGAAAAGTCGGTAAAAAATGCACGGAGTCTTCGAAATATTAACTTCCTGTTGGCCGGAGTCGCCATAATTCAGGTTCGCTGTTGACATATTCCGTGCAACGCGAACGATCGACGGTCTACGTTGGTCGTACCGTTCAGACCAGAATAGTTTCGCCATTAAAAGAAACAATGGTTGCGTCCAGCAGAACAAAGCGCTCGGTGAGGTCTTAGCGATTAGTGCGACTGATTAGCGTATTTCTTGGCTAATGTAAGAATACATATATCACAATTAGATCCTCGAATCGTTAATCGCTTATTGAACGCTTCCTCCTCCGAACGCAGCCATTATTGCGGCTTATCACGCGCATAAACAGTCGTTCGGTGCGGCGCGGAACGTGTTAAAATTAACAGACGCTTGGCAAAAAGAGGCATAGCACTTAACTATGTACTGTTGTACACGCATGTACAATTGTGCCGGCTAATTGCAAGCTTCAATTAAAATTCAACAAATAGAGATGATACTAATTATCTTGAAAGACAATGATTTCGACATACATACACAACGAGATGAATTTAATTTAATTGCCGTTGCATTGCGTCAATGAAAAAGTAGGACTTGATTTTTTAGTCAAATTTTACTTCATTACATCCAACGGGAATAACTTATTCGTCGAGTAAGCATCGTTATCTATGATCCTTCGCCATCTTTCTGTAGCTTTCGCGCACATCGTGGAAGATGGCTGATATACTACAGAAAATGGAATCAAATTATTGTTTCTTAAATATTTTTTCTCCCAGTAGATTCATCATTTTAGGCAGGGATAATAAAAGCGCAACGATTACACCGCTTGTTCAGATTTTGTCGCACGATTATTCGAGGATAAAGTTACATAAAACTTACAATTCGCGTTCCATTCGAAACCAATTGTGAGCATGGATTTGTCAATCGAAATTGTCAATTTGTCAATCGAATTTGTCAATCCCTTAGTGCCGGAATCTTCGTCCGATCGTTTTGGATACATACAATAGAAGCACTTATGAAAAACGACATAATCTCGATCGAAAATCTGTCCAAGCGATTCGACAGGGGACTTCCTGGTGACATTATTGCGACATAATGATATTACTTTACGTACCTTCGGCTGTACAGTTAGCCACGTTCTCCATCGTTGTGATGATTTCACTGAGCACGATCAGCCCTTCAAAGGCACCTTTTCTAGTCGCGTAACTCGTAGACGTATCCTCGCACAATTGGATTGTTCGTCAATGAACGCAAAGAGAATACTTCTCTGTGTATGAGCTTTTATTTTAAACATTTAAATATATGAAACTGACGTAAGATTGCACACGTTGAACAGCCAACGTTGTGGAGCACAGTCGGCTTATATTTTACGAAAAGTAACGGGATTGAGACACCGGGAAGAGACTAAGATCTATTTAATATCTTTTTCTTTCAACATAATTATCAGAACTCTGACGTTGATAAATGGCTATGTATACCATGTCAACCTACGTGGTACATTGTGTAAAATGTAATAAATCTCACTCATTTATCTTTATTAGTTTAGAAAATCTGATTTGCAGTTTCTGCGAAGCTGTTTGAAAAATTATATGATTATATACCATAATATGTTCCGCAATAATTTAGAATAAAATGCTAATGAGACTTTCGCAAGAAACATGTGTCATCATTTACTTTGTACATCTTTAGTAGTCTTTAGATAGGTACATATGCTGTTTAAGGAACTTATCTTCGATGATCTTGCCTGTATACATACAGTCAAGAACACCCTCCTTCTGAGTAAGATTCAAAAGATTTTAGCCGTCGTTTATTAAAAAGCGATTAACAAGAAAAGTTTTCTAAATTGAAATTTTTACATACAGTGCACATTGAAATATGATAAACAGTACACGTATATGCGCGGAGAAGGGGCGGAACCAGCAGTTAAAAAGAACAGACCATTTGTGTCATTTGTGGACCCGTTAGACGCTGCAAACGCTTTAAGGTGCTTAAAAGAAAAGTCATGATTTATCTGTATGACGCTTCAAAGCATTTGCAGCGTCTAATAAATCGCATCCTGTATCGTGTTATTGTTTCAACTTTTTGAAGATAATAAAAAAAGATGATCAACACGTTTTAATTAGGCTGAAATGACAATGCATGCTTTTTATAACTGTTTAAAGATAACATAAGTATCAAAAAGAAAAGTCAGATATCTAGTTGTGACAGTTCGCGTGAACTTTTTCTCTATCAATAATGCTTTATGCACTTCGCATTGACGGCGTTGGTAATAAGCGCGATACGATTTTGTGTTGCGTAAATGAAAAATATCACATATTTGAATTATTAACAAGGGTTGCATGCATAATTATATAATATCTTAATTTTTCTTTAACAGTGCACACTTACCTCCGTGGTTTTTCATCTGTCTTCTTATAAATCCCTTGTCGTCGCTCAAAATATCGTCGACGAAAAAAAAGTTGATCGCATATTCAAAATAAATAGAGACGAGTAAGGTGTAACGGTACGAAGGAAGTCGACTGACAAGGATTTGGCACAGGTGTGGTTATTGGATTTTGTAAATAAATATTAATAAATAAATGTACATCTTTGTGCGCGTAATACAATACCCATGTTCACATACAGGATAACCTTTATTACTTAATGCTTTACTAGTCACAATATAATACTACGAATTATTACAATATTAATAATATTATCATAATCATAATAGGTCATAATTTTTAATATATATGTATATATATATTTGTAATATTAATATACTTATTTATACCTTGTTGTTACATAATACACGGTTTCTTTCTTACCTTATCACTTAGCATATAGATATAATGTATATAGATATAGATATTTATATATATATATGCATATATATATATATATATATATTATCAGGATGGTATAAATAATATTGTATTTCATAAAAGCACTTCTTGTTGCTTATAATATTATCGTTTTCATATTGTTTCTCTACTGTTAATGCCTCTCTTTCTCAACGCATCTCGCTCTTTCTCTCGTTCTTTCTTTCTTTCCCTCTCTCTCTCTCTCTCTCTCTCTCTCTCTCTCTCTCTCTCCC